CGGCTCCTCCGCCGCCGGGGGGCGGCGCATCCCCGCGCCCGCCGGGACCCGGCCCCGCTGCCGCTGCCGCTCCGGCGGCACCCGCCATCCCCGGGACCGTGAGGTTTTCCTGCCGCTCGGATCGCCGAGAGAAGGAGAAGGGCGGCCAGATGGGAGATGTGGGAGCGCTGCGTCCAGCTCCGGGGCTCCCAGCACAAGAAGGACATGGGCATGTTGGAGCGGGTCCAGGGGAGGGCCAGGAAGATGATGAGAGGGATGGAGTCACCTCTCCTGTGAGGACAGGCTGAGAGAGCTGGGGTTGTTCAGCCTGGAGAAGAGAAGGCTCCGGGGACACCTTATAAAGACCTTCCAGTGCCTGAGGGGAGCCTACAGGAGAGATGGGGAGGGACCCTTTATCAGGGAGTGGAGCAATAGGACAAGGGGTGATGGTTTTAAACTGGAAGACGGTCACTTTAGATTAGATATTAGGAAGAAAATTTTCACTATGAGGGTGGTGAGACACTGGAACAGGTTGCCCAGAGAAGCTGTGGATGCCCCATCCCTGGAGATGTTCAAGGCCAGGCTGGATGGGGCTTTGGGCAACCTGGTCTGGTGGGAGGTGTCCCTGCCCATGGCAGGGGGGGTGGAACTTGATGATCTTTAAGGTCCCTTCCAACCCAAACCAGTCTATGATTTATGTGCATTCATCATGACCTTGGTTATCCTTTTAGTGACATTGAGTGTTTAGGTATTTTTTTTTTCTGTTCCAGAATTAAACCAAGCTTTAAAGTACCTGGAGTTTTCACATGTGAGAAGATTATTAATGTTGGTCCCAAATTGGTCCAACGTGCAGTCCTCAGTCAGCAGGTGAGTGGAGACTAGAAAAAAATAATTATCACCTGAATCCAGGCAGCAGGAGTAAGCATCCTTTTTCCAGTCATATCCTCATCTCTTCTTGTGGAATTAATTTCCCAAAATAGCTTTAAATAAAGCTGCTGCGATGGCTTCTCTCTAAGAACACATGCCAACATACAGAAGTGCAAGAGACTGCTCCCACCAAGTCCCCTTGGCAGTCCCATCATGTAACCCTCTCAGTCAACCAAGTTCTGATTTAAACACATTTAGAATTTTTCTGGGCTTTCCATCAGGAAAAGCTGTCAGACCTGCACCAACCCCCTGGAACGAAAACCTAATTTCCAAAATGAATGTATTCCTACTCTTGTACTAACTTTGTGCATTAGTTTCAGCAGTTGTCTCATTGATGCGTCCACCACCCTGATGTACTTGCAGCATCCGTGTGCTCTGCCTTCATTTACCAAATTAAGTCTCCTCTTGGAACACAGGCTGAACACTCCGTACCTGTTCACTTTGGCAACCTTTTTTGTTTTTCTTTTTTTTTTTTTCCTGCCTTCTAATATAAATACATCTTTCTTGAGCATGGTTGTACTGATGCACACAAAATACTCCAGCCGCTGTCTCAACAGGACCTCCTGTAATGGCATGGGCATCTCTCCTCTCTGCTGATAACACCTCAACAAACTGGGCCTAGGATTTCATTCACATTCATTTCCATGGCTATATCATACTGTCACCTTACACCCAACCTCAAACAGATGAATCCCGCAGGAGAACCCTGGTGGTTGCAATGACCAGAGCTGGGTCCTGAAGACATCATGCTTTCCCACTACACATAAAAACCAAACAACAACTTCCAGATGCACTCTCCACCCCTTGCCAGCCAAAGGTGACACCTGGCTGCACCTCACTCCTGCAGCTAGTCCTTCCCATCACCACCAGGAAAAGGTGATGTGCCAAATCAAAGTTCAGCCTGATCCAATTTCTGCTGATACACCCAAATCTTTCTTCTCCTGCACTGCTGAGCTCCCAGCTTCTAGCAGAAATTCTTGTAGTCTCCAAGTACACAGCCTGCTGCTCTGCACCCATAAACATTATCCCATTTCCATGACTCCAGCACAGTCATCCAGTTCTCATCCGCCTCTTCTGGTGAAGGTGCTTCCCGGCTTGATGTCATCAGCAAATTTAATTAGCAAATGCCTCTCTTTTTGTGCCAGGGTCATTAATTTAAATATAAAACAAAAGTCAATCTCCACTCTTGAGGAAATCCATAAATGATTTGCCAGTTGACTGATACTTTTTCTTTCAGTACCACTTGTTTCTTTTTGCTGCCTAATTCCTCCCCACCTTACACTTCTACACCACACACTCGCCAGATTAACTAGTGACTTTCCATGTGGCATTCAAGAAGATTAATTTCTTTCTCTAAGAGTTTAACTAGGACTCTAAAGAAAGTGCTGGCAAAGGCAACACCTTTGCTTAAGAAATCATATTTTACTTTACTCCACTTTCCAGTTAGTCCCTAGTCTTTCACTTTTCACTCATTCTGAATTTGTTGTAAAACCCTACACACCTTTTAGGTAAAATTAGCAACTCCAGTTGCCCAGATCACTTTTCCTTCCCCCTTGTAAATACAGGCATGTCAACACAACTCACCATTCACATGAGACAACAGCAGACCAAATAAATTTTACTGGAAATCTCCGCTCCCAACCCTGCAATATCACCTACAGGTTCCTTCAGCATTCTGGGATAGAGATTATTTAGCCTTCCAGTCCCAATGTATGGAGGCCTACGCTTCCACCTAAATACCACTACCTCATCTCACATCCATATTCCTGTAATCTATCTTGCCTTTGCTTCTGATCCTGCACATCAGAATAACCAAGCAAAAAAATACTTTTTAAAGTCTTATCTTCATTGATATTCACTTCACTGATTCAGCAGCACAGACTATTTCATGTCGTTCACACTATCTGCCGTCCTTGTCCATTGGCAATCTAAAATAAAGAGTACTCCTAAAAAATTGTTCTGGTGCTTAGATATGGTATTATGCAATTTCTAAAAGACATACAGGTAGCATACATGTTCCCTCTTTAAGCTGAACTGCTGAACAGAAGCTAAAATTCTTGGCAATGATCCAGTAGAAGGTACCTTGAGAACAAGCCTAATAATTTCCAGTGGAACTAAGAAAGAAGAAGCACTTGAAAGCAGTAATTTAGAAAAAGGAACACGTAAATATAAGGGCTTAGTGGATAAACACCATCTGGTGGGTTGCAGTTCAAAATTATTTTATATAGCACTACAAAAGGTCAATTTACAGGCACAGTCAGGTTAAAACTCCTTATCCCAAGATGGTTATGGTCAGAATGAAAAGATGATACGGTCTGGGGAGGAGAAATAGTAGAGTTACCAAACCTGTTCGATTCAACACACAAGGCTACCGAGATAAGGTCCTTGTAGCTTTAGTTCAGAAGCTGAAGGACATAAACACTTGAAAACTAAGAAAGAACAAAACTGAGAGGGAAGTTAAGCCCATTTTCATGCCTGCGTGTAAAATACACAAAGTTGCATTAACTTCTCTCACTTACCACACCTGGCTAGTTCCTCTTTTGTGCAAAATTTTCTTCAAAAGAAAAGCATGGAGATATATATATATATATATATATATATAAATCATCAGACAACACATGAGAATTTGTAACCTGGTGTGATTTTTGCATATATACCCCAGACAAAGCAAAATAACCACCGAGGAACTAGACAAAGGCGAAAACAAGAGCACGTGTGTTGGTATTTTTGAAGAGTAGGCATATTTTCCTTCTGCCACCTAGTGACCAATTTATTCAAGATAAGAGTAGCGTTTAAAATGTACCCTATTAAATGGAACACCTTCATGACTCTTCCTTTGCCTGGCAGCAGTAGCGTTGCTAATCGCATTATTCCCAGAGACCAGTATCGTAGAAGTCATGTCGTTGTGGGCTCCTTATAGTAAAGCCCTCTAATGCTCGTCACCAGAAAGCTTCGAGAGCAGAGTTCACCCTCATTAGAGCTAAGACTTTGAAGGCTGCCTTACACAAGCACATCTGGTGAACCTGTCACACACCACGACTCCCAATTCCCCATGTAGCTGGCAGAACTGTAAATAATTTCACAGATCTTCACAAGCTTTTTATAGCTTGCAGGATGCACACTTGCTATTTTAAATCTTACTGATCCAGGGTAGAGAGATTTCTAAAATGATTAAACTTGATCTGTGCAGTCACTCAGTGGCACTGCTGAAAACATGCCTGGCCCTACCTACTGATGGTAGTAAGGGCTGGGATTGCTTAATACCTTTCCTTTGTATCAGAAAAGCAGTTCATGATGGAAAAAGAGTATCTTTGAGCCCTTTCTGTGCTGAGAAGAAACAACCTGTAATAGAAAGGCCAAGAACGGACTAACCAAATTAATTTGGAAGAAAAATGGCCTAAATATTTTCATATTCGTCTATCAAGATCTATGCAATACCGTGTGCCCCCATGGGAAGGGGCGTCTCGTTTCTCTGTCAGGGAAGTACAACCACTTCGGCACACTTTCTGCTTTTAACATTTATACCACAGATTCTTTGGGTTCCTGGCACTGACTCCGCAGTTAAATTTAAAAATGCTAGTGTCTCAGAAACAGCAATTTGCACGCAAACGTTTGTGTTTTTTTCAGCCACAAAACAGTCCTGCCTTTGACATCACTACTTGGTAGTGAATCACTGTTTCTCCTTTTTGTTTACTTCAGTGCCATTTCTTTTTTATGGGTTTTCAGAGAAAAGAATCTCCAACTTATTCTGATTTATTTCATTGTTTTTATTTTTAAAACAAAGCCTTTCCAAGAAGCATCTTCCCACTCACTAGAATAAATATAAAACTCTTGTCACAAACTAAAGAAAATGAAAGTTCTAAGAGTTTGCTTTTACTACGTCTCCCTCACATCATTTTCAAATCTAAAACTTCAGATAATTTGGCACAGATTTACCTAGTGTCAATACATTTACAGAACTGTCCTGGACTTCTAGGCAAAGCTACATTTTACTATGGTACAGCAGAGGTAATTGCACTGTGGAGCTCCATTCATAATGCTTAAAGTCTAGAGAAGACCACTGGTCTCACTTTTTACCTGTAATCTTTACAATAAAGATTTGGATTCCATTTTTTTTTAGAAGGAAAAAAAAAAAAAAGGGTGGGGGAGAAGGAGGAGAAGGTACTTTATGCCTGGTTGACACTGACAGATTAGAGTTGAGCCAATGGTCTCACTGAGATGGTGAGAAACCCCCCGCAACAGGCCACTATGCTTCATCCCTATAAAAAAATCTTTTCAAATCATGACAGAACTCTCCTTAATTAGGTGTCATTACTACTAGATATCCCCATGATACATGCTTTGTCCATGAGGCGAGAGGAAAGCACCAAGTTTTCTTGCACGGGATTACTGTGTCTTTTTATTATTATCTGTATTAAATACAAAAACCTAAGAATGCTTCCCTTTGCCACTCGCTGCGTCGTAACTCCTTCCCCCTCCACATTCTTTCCCACTTCTTACCTTGTCATCTCTTCCTCTAGCTCGGGATTCCCTTTCGCGGCTGCCCGCAGACTTCTCCCCCTTGGAGACCGCGTGTGCTCTGCCCGCCAGCCCGCGGGGCTGCAGCCCTGGGGACTCCTTCCTCAAAGGTTTTGCTTCTCGGTTAGGACGTTTTATCTGAGGGGGAGCCCTAACAACAAGCAAGCACAACAAAAACATGCTAAAAACAGAGAAAAAAGAGAGCAACATTAAGAAGGGAAGTGGTTGAGGCACCATCCCTGGAGGTATTTGTGCTTAATGACATGGTTTAGTGATGGTTTTTGTCAGAGTTGGGTTGATGGTTGGACTAGATGATCTTAAAGGTCCCTTCCAAACTAGACAATTCTAAGGAAGGATTCTAATATGTCATTAATTCCCTTGGTGCATTATTACTAAAGCTGACAAGACCCTAAGTCAAGGGGACAAGAGGAAATGGCCTCAGGTTGTGCCAGGGGAGGTTTAGATTGGAAAAATTTCTTCACTGAAAGGGCTGTCAAGCATTGGAACAGGCTGCCCAAGGAAGTGGTTGAGTCACCATCCCTGGAGGTATTTAAAAGATGTATAAATGTAGTGCTTAGGGACATGATTTAGGAGTAACTTGGCAGTGCTGAGTTAACAGTTGGACTTGCTGTTCTTAAGGGTCTCTTCCAACCATAACAATTCTATGATTCTAAGTCTTATCTCCCTATATCTGCAAATCTAGCAACATATTTCTGGTTCGGTCTGACACCCAAAGTAAGAAAAAAATACAAAAGGAAAAAAAGTCTTAAGAGTAAAAAAAAAAAAAGAAAATTAACAGTACTCTAAAATCAGTACTCCTAATCATCTTACAACAAACCAACATGCATGTAACAAAAGAGGAAACAATTTAGTAAAGGCTGTCAAATTGTAGTTTCCTCTGACTCCAAACCAGGAGATTATATTAGGCTACATTCATATGCACAAGTTCTACACAACCAGATGACATTCCTGGTAAAAATAAAAAAAATTTTAAAAAAAGCTGGCTAATAGCTTTGACAGGCCCCAAAACAAAGGAGGGAGAATTTTAAAACAATCCTCCTACCTCTGTCTTCATTCCCCTGTGTGAAAATGTCAAAACATAAAAATTGCCTGGAAAGCAAAAGCAAACAGAGCCGAACAGCAACCTCCTATCCTTGTGTGCGTCACCCACAATGTCAAAGAGAACTCAGCAGTGGCACGAGGAGAAGGAATTTGGTTTTAAGATAAGACATCACAGTCATTTTGCTCTAGGGATTGAACTCGAAAGATAGAACTAAAATAAACGACCAGGAATGTCACCCAACTTTAATTAGTGTCCCCATTGAATCTTCTACTGATTCTTGAGTAACTCATAATTTGCTAGCTTCAAAAACAGTTTCCTGGAATATGGCTTAAAAAGAGTACATACTTGAATGCTGGATACAACTGCTACATTTTGCTTTGCATACATTTTCATCAAACTTAACAGCACAGAAGAGTGGCTAATTTCAGCTTAAAAAAGCGGATGAACTATTGGGCTTTTGCCTCTAAGAAAGATATAAGAATAAATACATATTGCACTTCATGTAACATTACCACAAAAATTCTGATAATTATTTCTACCACTCACAAAAGTAACCAGCGTTAATATTATTTTACACTTACATTCATAGGGTTTTTTGAAAAGTGAAGATCCATTTGATAATTATAAAGCACATGCATCTACAAATAAGTGGCATTTCTTTCTGTTAACCAAGATCTCTCATTTTACTTTGTTCCTTTACTTATGTGAGTATACACACATTCAAATTCTTCGCTATTACAATGTTAGAAAAATGTTGGCATAAGTGTTTTTCTTGGTTTTAAATTGGATTTGTTGTTTCCAACAACCTGTGTCAACCTCTGTTAGCGTGAAAATAGGGAATTCAGAAAATGCACAAGCATTTGTTTTGAGAAAACTATTAGCTAACTAAAGTTACCTTAAGGGTGGTTACAGAAGCGAAACAGCATGTATAACAGAACGTTTAGCAATAAAACTAACCAACGGATTAAACACAGGTCATATTATCTGTAGCTAGGGAGCGATTTCTAACCACCATGTCCTTCAAGATCCTTCAGTTCCAGCTCCTCCTCAGCCATCAATGAATTCAACACTTTAAATAAACTTAAATGGAAAAGTTATCTCCCTGCACATGAAAAAGGCAACTGTCACCAAAAGCCCACTTACCTCACCAGCAGGCTCTAGTTCCAGGCACTCCTACTCACTCCTACCACAATAAAGGACTAACTTTATTTAGAACTTCAGCAATAAATCTGACCATACTTTAATTACTTTTCCCCCCAATGAATTGTAGTTATTATTTGTTACAAACTACTAAGGGGTAAATTAAAAGTGATTTTCATGTTACAAATGCATTCAAAAAAAGAACATAAAATCATGGCAATGCAACTTTATTCCATCCACTCTGCCTGAGCCTCTCCTTACCTGTGTTCAGCTGGAACAGGAGGGGGCCAAACAGCGGGATCTCTAAAAGGCTCATCTTGACAGGATACAGGGATATCTGCAGGTCTGTCCATTTTAAAACTCTCTAAAGTGTTGACAATGCTCTTAACTTGTTCATATTCTTCAACTAATTCTTGTCGGACCTTAAGAAATACACACATTATTTTAAAAGCTACAAATCAAACTTTTTAAAAAACAAAACAAAACAAAACATAGAAAGTACCTCAAAACATACGCTACCCTCAAAAGCAGAGCTTCCCAGCCCTTTCCATTCACAAATCCCAGACCTTTTGGGCTGACTACAGATCTTTAACAACAGCATAAACAACTAAACCTCTGTTGAGTTCATCTTCCTGCTTGTCAACATCACGACCAGACATGATTGCTAATACAGGGATCACTCTTCCATAAATTATGCTGATACTTAGATTTATGTGTGCATGTTGACATGTATGCACACAAGTAAAAGTGCTGTTGGCAGATCTTTAACGTATTTGCTACTATTCTGCTATAAAATAACTTCTCTGATTACAGTCTGCAAGGTCCTAGTTATAAAACTGGCTAAATCATTAAAATATAATATTACAAAACAAACTTTGTGAGGGACACACCACCACCATACAGTCAAAGCACAAGCCAATTCTTTGGTGGATTGCAAAGATTAGATTAGAAAATGGAACTTTAACACCCTACAGCGTAAGTTGAAATGATAAGTAAAGTAAGGGAAATAAAATTGAGAAGAAATTATGCCTCAGAAAGAAATCAGGATGAAGAATTATGCAGCTGAATTTTATACTTGATGTTTCTATTTCTACTAGTCAGGGAATGAGAACTACTGCAATAATTTCAAGATTATTTATTTGATGTTTTTCATTTCAATTTTCTGAGTATAAATTTTCTAAGTTTTAAGTGATATGGCTTGTTACAAGTACAATTTTTGTATGCTAAGGTCACCGGTCCTTAGTACACACCAGCAGCTATTAATTCCATTGCACATTCTTGCTCAGAAGCGTAAGCTGTCAGTGCATTAGCTTCAGATGTGCTAGGATTCACCTGAGTGCACTTGGACTGCATCTTGCCAGTCTTCCACCTATCACTCAATGACGCTTTCCATCCTGTGGGATCAACCTCCCTGCTTACTTTGGCTTTTATCTGCTCCAGGGTCATGACACCCAGATGTCACCTCTTCACTGAAGTGTTGGTGCACAGCTAAAACTAACACATGCATTGCTGTGCATGCCTGGAAACCAGTATTGTCACTCTGTTCTACTAAGCAAGGATTACCTTAGGCCAGTGTGAATCTTGCCTGGTACAGGCTTGCAGCTGGAGCTACAGAGACATCCTGAACCTTTCCATCCACTGGAAAGGCACATAGGCTCTAAAAGCTCTCATGAAGAAACATTATGATGAGGCTGCATCAAAAGAAGTGTGGCCAGCAGGTCGAGGTGATTCTGCCCCTCTACTCTGCTCTGGTGAGACCCCACCTGGAGTACTGTGTCCAGCTCTGGAGCCCTCAGCACAGGAAGTACATGGACCTGTTGGAATGGGTCCAGAGGAGCGCCACAAAGATGATGAGAGGGATGGAGCACCTCTCCTATGAGGACAGGCTGAGAGAGTCGGGGTTGTTCAGCCTGGAGATGAGAAGGCTCCGGGGAGACCATCTAGCAGCCTTCCAGTACCTGAAGGGGCCTACAGGAGAGATGGGGAGGGACTCGTTATCAGGGAGTGGAGCAATAGGACAAGGGGTGATGGTTTTAAACTGGAAGACGGTCACTTTAGATTAGATATTAGGAAGAAATTTTTCACTATGAGGGTGGTGAGGCACTGGAACAGGTTGCCCAGAGGCTGTGGATGCCCCATCCCTGGAGGTGTTCAAGACCAGGCTGGATGGGGCTTTGAGCAACCTGGTCTGGTGGGAGGTGTCCCTGCCCATGGCAGGAGCGTTGGAACTAGATGATCTTTAAGATACCTTCCAACCCAAACCATCCTATGATTTTATGATTCTATGATATTTGCAGGCTGTCATCAGGCACACAACTGAGCGAGGCTACAACTCACTCACACGGCAAGGCTGAATCAAAAACCAGGATCCAAAGTCAGCTTACAAGAAAGGCAAGGAAAGACACAAGGCACTCAGCTGTGCTCATGTCATGCATCCACGTGAAAAAGAGCTGGGAAAAATATCGCCTGCAGTCAGGTTTCACTTTGTGGCAAACAGAGGGAGGCAACCAAGGACAGCATCAACAGACGCCAACGATGTTGCCTGAAATCCAGACTCTCTTTGCTGAGCATATCCTGAGCAGATTCTGGGATAATCGAGAGGATCAGGAGAATGGAGGTCTGCAAATCCAGCCTGTCTGCTGAGGTTATAAATATACCAGCAGCAGATCAGGGAAGTAGATCAGCAGCACATCTTATGACTGTTTTTCCTTATGGTGTTTACAGTGAAAGGATGTGGGCCCCTACCCTGAGATCTTCCTGTTTCCCTGCATGCTCAGAAGGGCACCACGTTGGCCACATGCAGGGTTCTGTCTTGTCAGCATCCTTTTAGAAACATGCTTCTTCCAGCCTGATTTTCACCTGCTCATCCCATTTCTCTCTCACTCTTATTTCCCCTCTCAGAATGGTGCTTTTCCTCACCCCACACCCCCACTCTACAGATTCGAAGCAGCAGCAGCCGCCCCCCACTTTTGCTAGGGCAGCTTCAAGATGGAAAGCACTCTCTGACATAACTGTTTGGTGGGTAAGGTGTATAAAAGAAAGAATGATAAAATCAACAGCAGTCAGTAACAAATACACATCGCTTTCTGGAAGCTACAATTCTCCTAAAATACTACCAGGTATATCCCACAGCAATGTATCATTCTGCTCTGTAGTATTTTCCAGGAATTTTCTCACCACAAGGAAAAATTAAGAGATTTCAGCAGCACAAAGAAATTCTTCTCTGGTTTAAAACCCTGTTTAAGAAGAAGAATATATGTGACTGTCATCGGCAAGACAGCAGTTAGGACAGAGGCAAAGCGAAGGGTAAATCCCCAAGGCCCTGCACAGTTCTTGCAACACTGCAATTACTTCACCAGGAACATCTGTAGAAAAGGAGCCTTAGGTATGGGAAGAAGCTGATCATTTCACAGAGCGAAGCAGCCTTCTTGCTCATTCCAGATGGGGTAATGCTCTCTTGCCAAAGACACGGGACGTCCAGCTCAGGCAGGATTGCTCCTGCCCTGCTTTGCTCTCTTTGCTTTCTCATCACACAACCAGCAGACACGTCCCCCACTGCAAGAACTTCCAGCTGAGTTACAAATGTGATTGATTACTAACTTGGTTCCTTCAAACTGTCTAACACGCATCCCTCCAGCCCAAAAATAAATCCAGCCAAACAGCTGCTGTGAGGTACAAAGGAATGATACAGCATAAATCCTCCAGCCGCTTCCTACTCCAGTGCTCCAGGAATGAAGACAGGATTCCTCCTATCACCCTTCCAACACATGTGGAAAAGTTGGTGGAAAACAACTTGCCAGCACTGAGGGCTGGTGTGTTGTCATTCAGCTCTCCTGGCCCAGCAAGGAGGATGTTATCGGAAAATTGAGAGAAAGTGAGCCTTTGATGCCTTGGAAGCTGAAAACAGACTAACAACTGCTGGCCACCTCTTATCCAGACCTGAGCAGACCACAGTCTGAAATACAAACCCTTACTGCTTACTCAGTACCTGGCAAACCAACCAACAAAAAACCCCCAAACAACAGGACCACAAAGAAAAACCAGATGATAAATTCCTGGAGGCCTTAAAGAAACCAACTCAGATGGAACAGGTGCAGAAAGAGTTTCTTGCAGCTGAGAAACAAATAACCCAGATGCGAGACAAGAAGGGCTGTGTGGTAATTACAGAGGTGACTGAGCACCGCCTTTGAGTGATCAGTGCTGCTCTGAAGCAACCTCAGAGAGCTGCAAACAAGAAAATCACTGGTTTGACTCACACAGTCTCTTTGCCCCCCATCACACCCTTCCCTAGGGTGCCAGAGTCCCCAGGGGGTTCCAGCTCGGGTTCTAGAGAACTTGAAGCACGCTTTTAGGTTTTTCATGTTTAACCAGTTTCAAGAGATAGTGTGGACCAAGTTAACTGCCAAATAGGAAGATCTTGCTTCCCCTCATTTTTTTCTCCCCAACCACACTCTGCTACTGCTCTTCTGGATTCAATTCTGGCATCTCAGTAAAGTAACCCAGCTTGGTAAAATGGTAGAAAATTAGCCTAGGAGGATAAAAAGGAAATAAAGGACACTTTTGCTGGGTTAGCAAGCTGCACTGGCTCTCTACCCTCTGGCCAGGAGAATCCCAGGACAAAGGATGGTGGGATGTAGAGGAGGGAGAGAAGCTGGTGCAGCTGGAGGGAAGACTCAGTGGGGAAGGACTTGGCCTCCCCAGGCATGGTAGGACGTGAACTGGGTTCTGCTACCGTGTGAAACTGCCAGCTCCCCAGAGCCACGCTCTGGTACATCAGCCATCCCTACCAGACACATCACCTCCTCCGCAGAAGCAGCATCGTGGGCACTGGGTGATGCTGGAAAGCCCAATAAACAGCCTTTCAGCCCAGGGGGTGGCCCATAGCTTTGTTAGGTCCAGCCCTAAGGATTTACAGTAACCGAGCAGAAAACAGATCCTAAAATACGGGTATATAACACAGTAATCAAGAGTTGAGTTCACCCTTTCTTAGTAGTAGATCCAAAAACCCATTTCAGTGACTTCCTCTGTATTTCACAATCTGGTAACTGTTGTACCTTTGGCATCAAAGCACAGCTTTGATTTGCTGTGCTAGAGCTTCTACTTCTACACAACTTCCCATAGCAATAAACATGGCTATTTGTACCTTGGTAAATACAAATAATGTGAGGTTTGTTGTTGTTTTTTTTTAATTATATCATGCTGGAACAAAACCAATCAAGTTTCTATGAAGTGTTTTCCAAACCTGAAATTACTGCCTGCAATTAGTGTTAATTATTCAACAAGCTCCATTTAAAAAAAAGTGAAAAATAACAATTCCTTAAACTATAAAATGAATGCCCTGTAACCCAACCTGATCCCATGGAGTCAAAGTATACTCCTGTAATCACAATTCTTCATGAGTTACCTGCAGAATATTCCTTAATAGAATCACAGAATCACAGAATCTTCTAGGTTGGAAGGGACCTTAAAGATCATCTTGTCCAACCGTCAACCTAACTGACAAAAATAGACACCCACACAACAAACAAGGAGCATCATCACTAAACCATACCTCCCAGCACTTCATCAACCCGTCTTTTGAATACCTCCAGGGATGGTGCCTCAACCACCTCCCTGGGCAGCCCATTCCAATGTCTGATAACCCTTTCAGTGAAAAAATTTTTCCTAATATCCAGCCTGAACCTACCCTGGCGTAACTTGAGGCCATTTCCTCTCGTTCTGTCACCTGTGACTTGAGAAAAGAGACCGACCCCTATCTCTCTACACCCTCCTTTCAGGTAGTTGTAGAGAGCAATAAGGTCTCCCCTCAGCCTTCCTCATGAAGTAACCTACGAAGTGTTAATAAAACGGGCATGAAGCAAACCCAACATACGCACAGATTGACTGAAATGTGTGTTTAAAAAAAAAAAAAAGGAAAAGTCATCCTTTATTCTTTAAGCAAGAAGGCAGTGCACCTCATGACCTGCTCCAGTGACCAAGGGTGCTTTGGTGGCTGCTCCAAGCGCTCAGAGAACCGTTGAACTCCTGCCCCAGCTCTGGCTGAGGCTCCTGTGCCCTCGGATACCATGCAACACGGAGCACACGGCTGTAACACGCAGCAGGTTCTGCTCGACAGCCGCTGGCCTTGTCGTTAGGCAGTGCCATCTCCCGGGGGCACGCTCTGCTGTCATTCTGCAGCTGCTGAGCTGTCACCGAAGCAGCTCTTTCCTACAAGCCAGCTGTCTAGTAAAAAGACTGCAACGGCCAAGGAACTCTCTCGGAATAAACAAGGGGGAATGTCAGCACAAGTAAAGTTCACAGTAGCGGTCATGAAAGTAAACCTACCTTTTATTGGCGGTAAGTAGAAAAAGAGATGAGTCGCTTCTGATTTTGAATGTTGCCAGCCCCAGCCTGCATTTATATGGATGAATATGGCTACACGTCAGCCAAATATCAAAGTACAACAAAGAAGTAGCTTTTTTCTTTTTTGAATGAGCTCAGAGGCCTAGGAGTGAGGATAATTCTATGATTCTATAAGAATGGAGCTACACTCAGCTACCCAAGAGCAAGCTGGGAACTCCTTGGATGCAAAACAAATAAGGGTCTCCCTTGATATCCCCAAGCCAAGCTAGTTATCAGACAATCAATGACAATGATTTTTCCAAAGGGTTAGAGGAATTCTTATGTTGTCACACCACTGCTTTGGTGGATCCTCCAGGCTGCATCTTTTGCCCTTTTGAAGTTCTGCAGATTGTGCCAGACTAACAACACAGCCCCTCTCCTCTGTTTTCAAGTCCCAGAAGCAGTATTGCAGCAAGTGGAACTGAGTCAGTCGATTATTCCCAGGGGACCAGATGATACATGTTCACATTCCTCCTCCTCGTAACTATCAGGACCAAGCACAAGGGACCCTTGAAATCAGGGTTCCCAGTTGCAAAGCTGAAGCTGTCTGACTGTGTGATATGAAATACAAACCACCAAATACTTGTACAGAATATCATTCTGTCCAAACCAACCTGTAGAAATTTGAAAACAATGACAACTAAGCAAAGAGCGGTAGAAGAAGAGTGTTTGGGAGTCTGACCCAAAATCCCAACTACAGCCTGCTCTACATTGCTCGATAAACTGCTGGAAAAATCCCACGTAGTACACAAGGCAACAAAACAGATCCACCTAGCATGAGGTACCTATTCAGGATGGAGCACCGCTGTAGAGAAGTGACCAGATAGGGGGAACAGTGGTTCATGTATCAGGTACGAGCTGGACAGCTGCAGAGCCATGGCTGTAACTACTGTTTGAGATGTTACTTGTATAAGCATTTCCATTTTATGAGGGAACACGTGGGCAAACACCTGAAACTGAGTTCACTGCCTCAGAAGTACCAGTAGGACAAACACCCTGTTCGTGCGCTGCACACAAATGTACAGAAAGGAAGGACATGCTTCCCTTCATACTGTCAGATCCCCTCAGCATTGGTGTCCCAGGAATCCTTCAGGGGATTCAAGGTTGTCAATGTGCATGCAGACACTATAGCTCAGAGAAGAACTGTTTAAGTAATAATCTTTTCCTTCGAGCACTTATCTACATGGCCATTCACACTGTGACTGCTCCCAACAGTAAAAGCTCTATCTACCCAGTGTCTGCTAGAGATTGCTAAACTCCACCTCCAAACTGTACCAGTGGCATTATCCTCCTCAGATTCCTCACAGAATGGAGAAACTGAAGAACCTAAAGAACAGGTTAGTTCCATATGCCAGAGGAGACAGAATTTCAGGTAAAAATCAACTGTAGTCATCACCTTGACCAGGACCTACGTGTTGCTTTGCTCCCCCTGTCACTTGCAAGAAGCACACAGGTATGGGAATCTTTTGCTTCTGCACACTACTGGCACCAAGATTTGCTAAACTTACGTAATGTGTATGGCATAACTCTTTCATGGGGATGATCTAAAAAGAGTAACTATTTTACTATGGTGAATGTTTCTTGTCATCCAACGTTTGGCTTAATTTTTTTTCAGAACAGGCTGTCTGTCAGACAGCTACTGAATGTGACTGACAGTTTGGATGGAGGTTCTGTGGGAGCTGGAAAGCAGTGCTGACATCCAGATCATCAGACTCCCTCTTAGTCTGCCTCAAGGAGTGAGATGGCACAACAGTTATTTATGAAGAGTGGGTAAGAAAGCAGGTCTACATCTATAGGTCTCACCAAACCATTCAGGTGCAGGCAAGGAAAAGCCAGGGGTTCTAGGACTGCATCGTTTCCTCTCAGGGCTATATAATTCTGTTCCCAGGGCTACAGGTAGTCCTACAAATGAATGAGAAGGCAAACAGCCTGTCATGCTCCTTACTTTTTGGTGCTTGTCCCTGAGCCGAGACTGGCACCAGTAATGGCAAAGCAATATTCTGACAAAGTTCATCTGCCACCGCTATGTTGGGAAGTTTCAGAATTAACATGAGCACACAGCGTGACAGACGCTACCCCACCTGCTGCTGATCTTTCTGGGGACAGTTCTCTAAAGCTTTTATGGGACACTGTCAGGGGCCATTCTGTTTTTACCTAAAAGGGATAATTTTGGAGAAGATGCCAACTTTAGATCCTCTGCTAAGGATCCAGCTGCCTTCCCCAGGGAATAATCCTGGAAACTGTGTTAATGCTCCTTTTTGGCTTGAGGCTCATCTCCAATGTACAGCACGCGTTCCATGGCACACAGCCTTCTCTGAAGCAGTTCAAACAACACACAACATTACGAGACTGTAAGTAACCTTCACAAGATAAGAGCTGTTAAAAGTTTAATAGAAGAATCCATGTCATAGGAGGAAACACTAAATATTAGAAGTGAAGGAAATGCAGTGATGCAGCTGCAGAACAAGGAAAGCCTCACGCTCTACCTTCACATCAGCTAGAAGTTCAGCAGGAACTAAGGGCACGCATGGGGCATGAAGACCTTGTATCAGCATGCCCTGAGGTGGGGAAGAGCTTGAACACAAATACTTGACAGATAATATCTCCTGTACAACGTTCAGCTTATTACATGACCAGGAAAGCCAGGCTCTATCACTGTTGCCTGTACACGCATGTGCTTTGCACACAAGCTCTCAATAAGCAGACAGACTTCTCCAGCTCTATGATAAACACCTACAAATAGTACTGTCACTACAAAATGATTGCTAACAGTGTTGTAGCTATCAATACACAAAATACTCTATGTTAGTGTCAGATGTTTCAAGCACAAAGCCATAACCAAAGCATCTGCTCCAATAAAAAGGAAAAATTTGCTTGTTTTAAAGTGACATCGTTTAAACACGATATTTAGAAAAACTCTTCCTGAAATCATCTCTTCAGCTACTTACTGCAAAATTATATCTTTTATAGGAGCTATGCTCTTCTTTAAAAACATAATATTTATGCAACATGTATTCTTTATTCTAGAATACCCCTTTATATGTTTATCCTCCAACATTATTTTTTTATGGAACACATTTTGTACAATGAAAAATAGGGCCACAAAATGTAAGGAAGACTTAAGTACTGGAAGTGCCCAATGAAGGTTCTTACATTTCACCTGCGGATTACTTCCTCAGCTTCAACAGTACTCTGCTGAGCAGCGAGATGCATGTGTGCAAGACTCAGGCTAAGAGTATTACTTGAAGCTTTAGAAACCTGATCCAAATTTGCACACTGTAGCATTACAGTTAACTGCTACTCAGCCATTCTAGTGATGCTAACCCATCCTCTCACATCTTAGTTTACTGGACATTAGATGGTCAAAAGATAAAAACAGTAACAGGAAGTCCTCAGCAAAACAGTTTTTCCAAATCACGCACTAACAGACCAGTGGTTAGCCAGACATCCTCAGTGGAAACAACAAAAAAATGTATTCAATTAGAACAAACGATGTCCTTTTGAACACACCACAAAAGTTATTTTCCCATAAATATCAGCAAAATATTGCAAAAGAAATGTTGAAAACTTAACTGAAATATACGTTCTCTATACCTTAAAAGGCTTAGGAAGTACAGTGTGTTCTTCAAATATCAAGCAATAAAATAAAGGCAACCTTATTTCACCCTACCTGTTGCCATTTGCCCTTAACTGCTGGATCTCTGATCGACTGGCAATGTCTCTGGATCTGCTGGATGACACCCTGGTAATACACGATAGAAGAGTCATAATTCCCAAGGAGTGCATATTCTCTTCCCTTTTTGGCATTATCGCAAATCTCCGCTAAATTCATCTTCGCTCAGAAATCTAAAAGAGAACACAATCATCAGAAAAATGAATTTTACATGCTGTAGGATGATTCAGACCACAACCCTTTAGTTTTGTTTTTTCTCTCGTAGCTGAATTGTGTCTTTCCACCCTCTGTTCCCAGCCAGTCCCCCTCTTTTTCAACCACTTAGCTTTGGAGTATCTCTTTACTAGCCTAAGGTTTGCGATCATGAATCATAACTCTTTTATAGTGAGAAAAAACACAACTTCTTTGCTGTCTGTGGCCCCAATCCTGTTAAATTCATGCAAGAAAATGAAATGCCCTGCCCACACTCAACCTAACAAGCCAAACTTCAATTTGTAGAGCACCACAATATATTAGCAGCCATCAGCCCGTGAATCGCAACTCACACGAGGCATTAAATTGCTTTTTATACTGTTGTATTACATACGTGCCTAAATATGCCAAGCAGCATCAGGGAAGTCTGCACTTAGCACTTTCAAGAGCCCTCACCCTAATGAGATTACGATACGGTTGAATGACAGCTCTACTACAGACAAAGCTGAGAGCCTCTTTCTGTTTAAATATTCTTTCAAAGTACTCCAACATCCACATGCTGACTTGGATTTTTTTTTCATTAAATTTAACACGTCACTTTGGGATTTACGGCAGAGTTAGCAATCCAAATTTAAGATTTCTTAAAACAGTGATTCCCAAAGTACAACCCTCCCCTAGTCCCCAGAACAATCTAGGATTTACGGATTTTACTAACTTTTTCATACAAGTAGTAAATCGCAGCATGACTTTAAGGCAAACCCATGGTCTAACTTTTCACAGTAACCATTCAAGAAAGCAATATTAAACCACACATTCAAACGTAAGCTATGTTGTAAAGCTACGTTTGTATTTAAGAGTCAAGATTGAAGCAATGCCTGCCCCTTCATCTGAATCCCGCATGACTCACAAGTCTAGGTCCTTACCACACAAAAAGAGTATCAGTTCCTTTCCATTGTCCTCTGACTCAGGACAGGTGGGGTCCCTGACATTCACCCAGATGTAAAACTCTGGATACCAAAAATAATAAAAACTTCACAATTCATAGCTACGCAATGCATAGGGTTGAACTGACCGAGAGGGAGGAGGCTGGCTGGGGAGGGCTGTCCACTAGCTGCATGGAGGGTTTGGCAAGACCAAGGTGGTGGAGAAGAAACAGGGAAGGAGAGATACAGGCAGACGGGGAGAGCACAGGGTTCAGGCTGCAGAGCTGAAGACAGCCCCTGGTCTGGGGGTGCGTGCGGTAGGAGCAGGTGGTAGCAGAGAGAAGCCAGAACAGGGAGAAACAACCTTTTACATCCTAGTGGGTTATAAAAATGTTAGTAGTTTTTATAGAACAGGCGAGACAAGATCAAGATGGCATGAAGGAGGATGTATCTTATGTCTTTGTATCCCCTCGTGCTTAGCAAAATTCAAACCTCTGACATTAAGTTGAACATACGTCCACATGACCTTCATTCTGCCCTCCCTGAATAGCAAACACACACCCTGCCTCTCAACAGCGCCAAACCGATGGTCCTTACTGCTGCCTGCAGCTGCACACCAGGTCTCCTCCACCACCTCTTCACTCCTGCTCCCTGCAACCAAGCCACGGAAACCTGTTGCCACACATTTCGTCCTGCAGATCATTCCCTGGGGCTGCTAGAAGCTTCTGGGCAGGAGCAGAACTAAGACGGGAAGGGCGACGACCCTGATTTTCTTTTCTCTTGGTGATGAGGAAGGGCAGGGTAAAGCATTGGAGGGCCCTAGCTCTGTGACAAGACCATTTAATTTTAAAATACAGAAGATGATAACTGATGGGAAAAAAAAGTGATGTCGCTTGCATTGCACTGGAAACAGATAAAAAGATATGAACTGAATATAGGTTACAACCCATTCAGATCTGATGAGTCAACGTACAAATGAACAAGCCACCACCTGGGGCAGAACCCATTGCCCTGCCTTCAAACACATCCAGGTTGGGATCTGCTACACAACCACCTTGTCCCCGTAAGGAAAACAGTCCTCAAATCTCTGGAGGTTTTCCCCACATGTAGCAAAAAAGAGAGAGTAAATAAAACATTTCTAAGGAAATGTTGCATTCAGTTCCTAGAAATCCGTTAAGTAGAACATGTACTTACTTTAGCAATCTCTTGTATCTGTTTATTACAGCTAGTTCCTACCTTGCAGGCCTGTGTTCAACTCCCTTTTGCCTTAAGAGGGCTGACACTCACATCCAGCTCCCCTGACACCCAGAAGAGTGCCCCGTGCACAGGAGGAGACAACCTCCTTGTCTCCGGTGGAAGCTGCACCAACCCATGGGCAGGAGGCAAGGCACAGCGACCACAGATACCCATGATCACTTCAAAAGAGTGGTTAGCTCAGGAAGCTGGAAAGTGGGAGGCAGATGATTTTACATGGTCTTAAAACTGCAGGGGGAAACCAAACGAGAGCCTCCAATTTCCTCCAAAAGTTCAGGGGCTTCTGGCCTCATACACTGAAGCTTAACCAAGAGCTTGATGCCCAGTGTGTCATGCTGGAAAGCTTCTAAACATCAACAGGCACCGAAACCTGGAGCACGTAGGAAGGTTGGTGGATGTACATATATCATAGAACCATAGAATGGTACGCAGTTGGAAGGGACCTTAAAGATCATCGAGTTCCAACCCCCCTGCCAAGAGCAGGGGCACCGTCCACTAGACCAGGTTGCTCAAAGCCCCATCCAGCCTGGCCTTGAACACCTCCAGGGATGGGGCATCCATAACTTCCCTGGGCAACCTGTTCCAGCATCTCATCACCCTCACACTAAAGAATTTCTTCTTGATATCTAATCTAAATTTTCCCTCTCAGTTTAAAACCATTACCCCTTGTCCTATTGCTACACTCCCTGATCAAGAGTCCCTCCCCATCCTACTGAGTGGTTGATGACTCTGAGCTTGGCTGACAAAAGCCTCTTGGATTCAGGCACTTCAATTTTTACTTATCACCTACCCTGGATACCCCAGCAGGTAATACAGCTTGAGAAGGTGAATATAACATCACTCATACACCTGAGACATGTTTGAAACAGCAACTGGAGACCTCATTCCTAAATCGGTGCTACCCCTGACCCCCAAACAATTCTTTGAGCTCCAACTGCAAAAAGACTGGCTATTTTAAACTAATGGCTAAAAGTGGTTTAAACAAATTACAAACCTTTTTACGCACATTAGCCATGGTAACATGAGTTCTGAATAGCCTAAGCAAGTCAAAACAAATATGACAAAAATTTAAGAAAAATTACTTTTAGGAAGGAATTCCTTCCTGGATTGACTCTTCAGTGGCAGGGGCCAGGAGGAAGAGGTAGCTAGAACTAGGTGTGGGCTTTTTCATGTTATGTACTTATTTTTTTTATTACCTGTTCTATGTTATATTATAGAGTTCATACAACATTGCAAACGTCCAAGGAACCAGAAATAGAAAAGTCAAAAATAGCGCTTTTGTTGTTTGTTTTTGTTGTTAGGGGTTTTAAATATTTGGTTTTCCTACCACATCACAGCCACATCTTTTAAGTACGCAGCCAGGGACAACTGTTGTCAGATACATTTGGAACAACTTACGCATTACTTGTGACACCGGCTTTTCATCCTATCATTGCGTGGCTCTTTCCTGCACTAGACCATAACAGCTCCACGGCACGTCAAGATATCCTTGGAGATTCCTTAGTTCACGGATCATTGACAAGAAGAGACGTTACAGACATTCATGCCAGTGTAGCTGCCACACATGGGGTCCCAAACTCACTTGTTAAAAACCCTGCAGCAGCTAGGCTAGAAGGTCACAGGGGATATTAATCTCTATTCTTTGGAGCATAAGCTGAGCTGATCCCTATCCGGGGGTCAGAAAAGAATTTTTCTCCCAGAACTACAGCAACGCACAATTGAGCAAGATCCAAAAGACAGTCTCTATTTTAACATTAAAGCATTATACCCACACAAGCATAGCCACAGGCAGATACAGGCACTGTGTGAATGGTGGGCAAGGGGGGACAGCTTGTTTAGCACACTATTCGGAACATGTGCAACACCAGTGGAAATGCAGGACAACTGTCCCCCTTCAGTCCATTTCCCACTTAACCTCACCCCAGAGCTGCCAGAGGCAATAAATGTCCTCCCCATAGATGGGGTCTGCAGCAGGGGCTTTCCCGTTGCTTGATATTGAACTTTCAGCTTTGCAAATGCCAAAATAAAAGGCATCTTTGCCACCTTTACATGTCTCTCATGCCTATGTTACACAACGCTGTCCTGTTCTCCCCATGGGCACTGAACTCTTGCACAGGATGGACGACACTCATTAAACGAGCAATTACTCATTTTTGCTTTACTCTCATTGTCTCAATAGTCACATCAAGCCGTATTTACTGCCTACTAATTAGACTTTTCTCCACATCAATTGTTAATGCCTCACTGATAGGGCTATAATATACTTGTTTTTTTCCTGACTTGTCTTTCGCTGATCAGAATTTTACCCAGGCAGGCCAAAAATTTTCCATAGCTCCCTGAGATCGCTGGACATATGGTCTCTTGTCACAGCAGCTGTGCAGTATTGCTGACTGGACAGCTGAACATCTGGAAAGGCCTGGACATGCCCAGATGAAGACTGGTTACTAATTCTGGTTCTCGTTTTCTGTAAGTCAGAATTGCAGCATGACGTCGGGCATCCCGAAATGCAACGCAAGAGACCCGTCTAACGTCCCAAGATGGAGAGCCAGGCTGTTGAGCACCATCTTCTGAAATTCAGTGCCGAGGTATGACTATAAGTTTTCCACTTCTACAAAACAGAGATAGGACATCCCTCTGCCACTGCACAGCCCCAGAACAGGTCGATTGCCACGCAGAGCAAAGCAAGGAAGAGAACTCCAGTATTAAGAGGTTTCGATTTTTTGATTCATCCATTCTCATGTGCACCCAATTCTACAACTAGAGTCTAAGCAACGAACTGAAGTTTTTCCTTTCTCAAATTCTTCTTACTGCTTGGAAGCTCTTCCTTAAAATTAATCTAAACCTGCCCTTCTTAGTTTAAGGCCATATTGTTTTTGTAAGCTGGCTTTGACCAGTTTCAAACAGCTTCTTTTCTCTCGATTTATGTTTTCACTTTAAATAGTACAACAATCCTATTTTCCATTTTCCCTTCGAAGCTAAATCTTGTTAAAATAGAGACATATAACAATATGACAATACCTTACCTTGAGAAGCATAAACTGTGACAGTAACTGGAACACTACCAGAGGAAGAAAAAAGCATTTTTTCCCTGCATGACATGTGATTTCTACTAGAAGCCTACAGAAGTCTATTTCTGACTGAAAAACAGACTGTGCTTCTTCTTCATGGGCTTGATGTATTTTATTTGATTTTTAAGAATAAGTTATTAAATGCAATTATTCAAAAAACTAAATAACTCTTGCCTGCTTCATTAGAAAGATTATCTCTTTTATTTTGGACTTGGGTGCGGAACAACTGGTCTTCGTTTCTAATAATTAACTGTCTCTGTTCAGAAGCAATCACTGATGCTGCAGACAATTATCAGGCATTACGTTCGCATGACAAAAACAACATTTTAACTGATCATTGCCAGATAAAATACAAACAAACAAAAGACTTGCCAAGTTCCACAGCCAAATCTCTCTTTCCCTGCTAACTTGTCTTTGTTCAAACTTGCAGCTGGGGTCCCACGGACCGGAGCGGAGGCCAGCCATCATTACCTCACAGGATCACAACTCCTGTTAAAATATATATAAATAAGACTGGGGCACGGTTCCAGCGGATTTGGATTGAACCTACATTGAAATGGCTCCTTGAATCAGAGAGAAGTGTGCTACGCCAGTGCTCTTTTTCTTTTTTTTTTGGCCTTTTTCTGTGCGTATCAGCAGCTGCTGCAGCAGCACCGGGGGTTGCAGCCGGTAATGTCACCGGAGTGTTCACTCCCCGTTCCACAATGTCACTTCACAGCAGCACACACACCACATAAAGCAAGCTCACACACACACACACACCCCCACCGTGGTCCCCCAGCACCGAGGGATCTTTCACTTCACTTAACTGCTTTCTGCTAACTGGGTCTTGGCTTCTTTGCACTGAAATTCCGTTTTCAAATAGCAGCCGCAGAGTTAATGGGGAAACGTGTGTGGAAGTGGGAAGGAGAAGAAGCATGCACACAGCCCTCCCACTATTGCGGGGTGCAATCTTCTGACAGCTAACTTGAAACAGAGAGTTGAATGTTAACTTTAAATGCAAGTGGAAAAAAAAAATAATCTTCAAATGAAGCAGACATCCACCACAAGTTAAAAGTAAACACAAATACATAAGAAACCACTAAACAGTTGGTCAGTGTTTTAATTAGAGGGAATACACTATCGCACTGAACAGTAGCACCCTGGAGAATGAAATGGCCATTTGCAAAGCCTTTGAACTGGAATTTTCTGAAGAACTAGAAAGAGGAGAATGAGACGGCTGTGCTGTTCCTAAAACTGACTGCATAACGTATCCTTCTCCAGAGCACCTCATGTATCAGCTTCAGGCTTATATATCCATACAGTCTCATCCCTATTATTCAGGATAACGAGGTGTTCATCAGTGAGGCCAGCAACAGAAAGGAAAACAGCTAACACAAACACTACAGGGCACTCTAAGGAGTGTAACTCCATACACACACAGTTCAGGCAGCGAGAGGCTTGCTGCCTTCTTCTCCATCTTATCCCTGCTGGACCCAGGCTGGCTCCACACATCTCTCCCGCAGTTTCCAGGGCTTCTGGCATCAGTACCACACCAAACCCAAGCCAGTGTTCAGGTGGCACCAGCCTTGAGGTGATGGATCGGGGGGTTCAGATTGGATATTAGGAAAAATTTTTACACTGAAAGGGGTTATTAAGCATTGGAATGGGCTGCCCAGGGAAGTGGTTGAGGCACCATCCCTGGAGGTATTCAAAAGACGTTTGACGTGGTGCTTAACGACATGGTTTAGTGATGTTTTTTTATCAGAGTTAGGCTGATGGTTGGACTAGATGATCTTAAAGGTCCCTTCCAACCTAGACAATTCTAGGATTCTATGATCCATCCTCTGAAAGAATGCAGAGCTCAGACACCAGAA